GTGTTTAATTTAAATTCAACTACTCATTTTTTTTTTTTTTGCTCCTGATTCTGTTTAAAAATTTTTGTAAGTTTGACTATAGTTGCTGTTTAATGAAACATAGATAAAATGAATGAGACGTAATAACGGAGTGGAGGAAGAGCAAGAAGTGGCAAAGCAGATAAGCAGTGATAACAGAAGAAGAAGCTAGCTGCAAATGCAGATGGCAAAGTGAGGAAGATTCTACGACGGTGGCGTGGGAAGACGACAATCCATAATTTGGGAAAGTGGTGAAACAAAAAAACGAAAAAAGGTTACTGCTTTTGTGAGAAAAAAGTAAAACAACGGTTGAGATTTTCAATAAGAAACCTTCAGAATTCTTACATATTCAAGTTGGCTCTTCTCTGCCTTTGACTATAAAAAAATTGCAATCTGAGCGGCAACCACAGCATTACACATTATTTCGTTCTTTGAAGGAATGATAAAGGTACAAAAAAAATCTTAGCAAAATTGTCATTAGCTTTTTCTTTCTTCTCTGTTTTTTTTTTTCTTCCCACTTCTTTTGCTTCACTTAACAATTACGTTTTAGATGGTTTGAATAGCAAAATCAAAAAAAAAAAAAAAAGCAAAAAATAAAGGTATTCATATATGAATATAGGGTGTGCGAAAATAATGGAAATGTAACGGCAACTTTACTACGCAAATGCAACGATTGATGTAAATGCATTTATACACTGAAATAGACATTGGTTAAAAGAAAATTATTTTGTTCTTGAAAATTCTATTTCTTTCCAGTTTATTTTTTTAAATTTAAAAAAAAAACAAATAAATGAACCATGTTCCAAAGAATATTCTACAGTAAAAAAGCACAAATGAACATTTTCCCACCACCCCTGTACTCCGTACGGTCAAATATGTTGTTGGATACATTAGACTGACGTCGTCAAAGATGAAACAAATGAAAACAACAAGCAACAGAATAGGCAAAAATTAAAAAAAAAAAGAAAAACAGAAAAACAAAAAAAAAAAAGAAAACAAGTCTGAAGCCGAAAAGATAAAAACTAAAATATTCAAAAAATTTTTTAAACTTTTAAAGTCTTCCAGCAAAACAGTGACAGCAAAACAATCTTTTGCTACTTATACTCTAATAGCGTTAATAAATAATTGATAATATTAATAAAAAAAACATTATTTCTCATTTGTTCTTAAAATTATAAAGTTAAATAAGATTAGGCTGTAACAGCTTTAGACGGGGTTTAGACGCTGACCGCTAAAATTTGTCATTATCGACCTTTTATAGTTGACAAACAATAACTAAACAAAAAAAAATAAAATAAAAAAAATTTAGTGAATTATTTTAATTACAATGTTCATTTTTTTAACTTTTCTAAAGAACAAAAAATTGTTTGAAGAGACTAAAAGATGAAAAATTTGCAAATGTTTTATCTAAATTATCTTCCCTTTCACTCATTTTCTGTTCGCCTCTTGATTTGGAAAATAACAACTTCAGACGCATAGTTGTCAAGGATCAGAATGCCAATAACAGAGGCCTTCTTTGTTCTGGCTATAATGTGATTCAGCAGTTTTTTTTTTTTAAAGCTTCAACAGTTCCAACTACCAAAGATCAGCAGATACGCTGTTGTTAAAATGGCCATCGTCGTTCTCAGCACTTGTCAACGATCGCCTTATCAGTGCCTTCACCTCCCCGTTTCTTCCCCCTCCCCCTCCTGCCCTTTCCCTTCCCCGCCAACCCCCCTGTCTTTTGAAGAAAACAGTAGAAAAGATATGGCAATAGTGTAACCAGAAAAAATGTTCTTTCCAAACAATTTTACAACTTATAAAACTAATAATTTTTTACAGCAGTTCTTTTTTTTTTTTTTTTCAGTTTCTGTTTTCATTTAATGTTTACAAGATTTTTTTTCGCATTTATTTTGCCCAATTTTTATGCCGCTCGTTGTGTTTTGGTCAACAAAAACGACCAAAAGAAAGATATCAGCAGAATATAAATATCATTAGTTGAAAAGAAAAAAAAGAAATCTGTCTTTTTTCATTGCTTTTGAAAAAGAAAGTGTTAAAGTGAAGACAGTCAAAAAACGTAGGTTTTTTCGTTGTTAAAATGCGTCTAACTAAACAAAGAAAAGAAAAAAAAAAGAATAAAGGAATAAAATGTAACAGTTGTGAGCGTTTAATCATAACAAGATCACTGATATCTGCTGATATTATACAACAGCAGTTCAATATTGCTTCCAGTTTTACTGCTTAAAAAAATTTACTGTTTGCTTTATATTATCGTTCACTTTTTTGTTGTTTCTTACAGAAGTCGCAAAACAATGGAATAAACATTGGACAAAGGCGGAAATGTTGAGCTTATTTTTGTCAACCCAAAGTTTCTGTTACTTTCTTATAAAGTTTACTTTTAAGTTTATATTTCTAAAGACGTAATTATGCTTGTCTATACACATCGGTATATACATATAAATTCACACATGGACACAACATGTCAAACAAGGATGCTAAAACAGCGCTTACTGTTTACCGTGTTATATTCAGGTTAAATTGAAAATAAAAATTAGAAGATGAAAGAAAATACAGAATAAAATTCGACGAAAACAGAGATAAGAAAAATTGATGGAGAAATAAATAAACTGAATTATGATATAAATTACCGGATGCTGCTGATATCGTAGTTTTATTAGCGGTATTAGTTTTTCGAGACTGAATAAAGCAAAAAGTCCGTTTGAACCACATTAGGTGACTTGCTTTCTTTTCTATCTTATTTTTTCTTTTTCGTTTGTTTAGTTTAGGTCAATTGCAAATCCGAATGATAACAGGAATTGAACTAGACGGTAGCGGACTATCCGGATGAACGATGTGATTGGAGATAACGGATATACGGAGAACAATCGGCAGCTAGAGTGGAAACTCCAGTTGAAAAAAGTACAAATAAAAGCTTTTCTTACTCAATAAAAAAAAACTCATTTGCCTTTATCGGTTGACTCTGAGAATGGTAGCTGAAGAAGGGAGAAGGTACGAGAAGCACGGAGAGGGAATCGGAAAGAAAAGGGAAGGGAGAGAGGGAAGAGGAAAGGGGGAAAAGGGGAAGGGGGAGGGTAGATGGAAGAGAGAAAGGACGAAGGGAAGGAAACGGAATGGGAAAGGGAAAGGGAAGGGGAAAGGGAAAGGGAAAGGGAAGGGGAAAGGGAAAGGATAGGAGCGTGATATCCCAACAAAGCGGGAGCAGCAGTGGTAGTGATACAAGGATGGAGACGACAGTGGCGACAACAATAGCGACGACGACGACAACGACGACGATGACGACGATAATGCCCTTGAGCACTGCCATTTTTTTCACCTTCAATTTCTGTGTTATAGGAATGTCGTTTTTTAAATGGTGTGTTTTAAATAAAATAAAGCATACGTGTTTTCAAAGTTGTTTCTGTCAATACGCGTACTCGGCTTATTTCTATTTATATATGAGTATGTATATAAATGGATTACTCATTCTATGATAAAGCTGGCAAAAAAAAAAAAAGAAAAAAAAACTTTATTCTATTTTGTTCTTTATTTCTTCTGTTTACGAAATAGTAGAAAGAGAAAAAGACAAACAAATGCTGTTGCTGTTGCTACTGCTGTTGTCTTTTATGGTTTCTCAACCAAAAAAAAAAGAAGAAAAAACTGCCATAGATACCAATGCTGAAAATATGTACGTATTTTTTCAATTTACGTCAACTGGTAGCTAACCTTATTTCTATTATTGAAAAAAAATTTTTTCTCTTTGCCTATACTTTCGCTACGCTTACTTTTGGTTGCTGCTCTTGCTGTTAAGTAACATGTATGAATATTATTATTTTTTTGTTAGTATATTGATGTGGGCAATCATCAACAACCTTTGTTTAAGCATCACACATAGCTAGCTATGTTCGCATAAAGATGTAGATGGAAAATTAGTTTACGGAAACAGCATAAAAACAGATGTTTTTGCTGTTTAGGTGTGAAAGAGAAGTAGGGCAGTAATCGAAAAAAATATATTATCTTACCAACTAAAAGCAAACGATCGATTTTGGATAATTCAGTGACATGTCGATAAAGTTTTATTGAACGGCATTGCTGAACAGTTGGATAATGCTATTGTAGGTTTTGCTACAACCAATTTTTCGTTATTTGATAATTAACACTTGACTTGTTCATAATTTCAGGGTTCTGCAAAGCTAAAGTCTGCCGATGCTGATAACAGCTTTAAAATGGCCAGTTTGATTTTGTAGCAGTCATAAGTTTGCTTTAGTCCTCTGTTTATCATAAGCACTGTTTAGTGAAACTAAGCGTAGTTGAAGAACAG